TTGTAGGTAATATTTTTATTTTCATATTTTTTTTAAATCTGCAACGTGTTAGAGCGACATAGAGCTGACCATGGGAAAACACAGGTTCAGGAGGAAAGAGGCCGACATTGTCGAATGTTTGACCTTGACTTTTGTTTATAGTGATAACAAAAGCAGGAATTATAGGAAATTGGCATCTTTTTAATATGAAAGGCAACCGGGAATCGCTCGGGGAAAGATCAATTCGAGGAATAAAAACGCGATGGCCATTATGCGTCCTTGATAATATTTCAGAATCTATGAAATTATCATATAAATTTTTGATAAGAAGTCGTGTCCCATTGCATAAGCCTCTGCTGGGATTCATGTTACGAAGAAGCATTATTATTGTCCCAACTTTAAGATTTAAAATATGAGGAGGCATTCCTGATGGGGTTTGAGAATGAAGAAATTCAATGGGGAAATTAAGTAAATCCTCAGGATTATCTGTTTGTATAGAATCAGCGCTAAAATATATCTTAGAATTTCCTGGTAGTTTTTGAATAATTTCGTTATTTAAATTTAGGGCTATGTTATTTTTAGTGGTTAATATAATTTTTTTTGAAAATAGGTTAATATCAGATATTTGTATGGAGTCTCCATATATTGATTTGATTAATGAATTTTCTAATAATGAATTTGGGATTTCAATCAAATCTGAAGGGAGTAAAGAATTGGAAACATTTGATAAAGATTCTCCAACATCCAAAAGCCAGGAATTATACTCAACATCTTCAGAAGATAACCGCATATTTTCATTCAGGTGGATAACTTTAAAATAAACCCATAAATCAGAAGACTTAAGACACTATTCAATAATATATGCTTTTGAACTGTTTGGAATGACAGGTAAAGTTTGCCTAAAATCGCCGCCCAATAATATAACTTTACCACCGAATGGGAACTGTTTGCATTATATCTTTAAGTAATCTATCGATACAGCGTAAAGCGTATTTAGTCATCATTGTGGCTTCGTCGATAATAATTAATTTGGACCTTTTAATAACAGTAGCATCAGGGAAATGAAGACTCATGCGAGATACAGAGTTATCAACAATCGGAATAGGTAATTTAAATCCACCATGTATTGTTCTACCCCCTTTTAAAAGAATAGCGGCAATGCCTGTTGTTGCAAACGGTAAAACTATTTGGTTGCGTCCTCTAATGTAGCACATTAGGGTATTATACAAAAAAGTTTTTCCCGATCCACCTGGTCCATCAATATAAAAACAAGGCTGAGGAAAATCATTATTTTCGATAGATTGAACGATTAAATCAAAGGCTGATTTTTGTAAAAAATTTAATTTAGTAATCAGTTTCAATGACTCAGCTGCCTTAAGATCATTATTATAAAAATCATCCTGAGCTATTAAAGTAGGAACAGGCAAATTGAAATTACTACAACGAAAACCATGGTCGTGCAATACTTTTTCTATATCTGATAAGGCCATATTAATTGCAATAGAATCTGTATGTGTATGTGCAAAATCTTCTATCTTATATTTTTTAAATTTTTCCCAGAGGTTATTTGGATTTTCTGGCTGACAAAAAATACAAATAAAGGCAAAAGATTGACGCAACTGTATGGGCATTAAAAATGTTGACGCTTCTTCCATAAATGCTTCCCATTCCTTGTCATCAACCAATAAATTTCTTTTAAAAGCCGCCTCTTTAAAAGTATTATATAAAACTCCATTTACAGTTCTCAAATATTCAAAACTTGTGGCGCCAACAACATGAAGTAATAGTTAACGTAGGAAAAATCTCTCGCCGGATTTAGGATCAACAGTATACATCCTTGAAATTATATTGTTTTGTCTTTGTCTAAGTTTCCACTTATTAAACGTTCCATTGTTTGGTTTTGTTGAATGGTATCTTGTGTAGGAATCTAAAAAAAATAATAAAATAGATTTTAATGGCCCACAGTAATGTTCAACTTGTTCTTGATTTTCAGTATCTTCAAGATGATTGGATGTTGAAGCAAATTGTTTATTTCCAGTATCTTCAAGATGGTTGGATGTTGTAGGAATAAGACTTTGCTCTTTCCTTTTCTTGATACGACAAAGTGCCTGTCTCTTTCTAGCTTTCTCCTTATGTTGATTTATTATTAAAATTTAAAAATATAAGAATTACTCAATTTTATAAAAATAAGTTTAGTTTAAAATATTTATTATTGTGGACATAAAATAAAATTACTAAATATATACTTCATAAACATATTTATAAAAAATAATGGAAAATATTAGAATAGCCCCTCACCTAATAAATATATATTTCGGAATCACATCTTATAAGATAGGAAAAATCTTTCCTCGTCATTCTTGACGGGCTATCAGCTAACATACAATACAAATTTAAAAAAATATAAAATTCTTGTTGAAGCAATAATGCCTTCTTTAGATTTTGGTAGTATGAAACGTTCCATTGTTTGGTTTTGTTGAATGGTATCTTGTGTAGGAATCTAAAAAAAATAATAAAATAGTATTTATAATAATTTTAAATTACATTGCTTATGAGATAACCTTATAAATAAGTTTTTTAAGGTTATCTCATAGGCAATGAATAAAGGTATTCTTTTATTATTATTACAATTTATATGTTAGGTGATGGGGGGGGGGGGGGTTAAGCTTTCATTGATAAAAAAATTCTAAGACAGACAACAATATTCAATATTTTATTGGGTTACAAAACTAATACCAATACAAACCAAAATATAAAACTAATACCACTTAAGCCAATCTCAATAACCGATAAATTCATCTAAAAGTAAAGATATATACATGTTTAAAAGCAATGACAATATTATTTACAATTATACGTCAATACTATTTTTTAATTGTAATAATAATAAAAGTATAAAATAAAATTTACTGATGATGTGGTGTCGTTTTTTTGATGTTTTCCTTGCTCGTAACTTGCCTTAAATAACTGGAAATAAGATGTGTAAATTGAAAGTATAAAATAAAATTTACTGATGATGATGATGGTTGATGGTTTTGCTCGATGTGGTGTCTGTTAAAAAATATAATTATTTACTGATGATGATTGAAGGTTTTGCTCGATGTGGTGTCTGTTAAAAAAAATATCAATTATTGTAATTATTATATTATTATATGTTTTGTAATTGTTTTTTGTATTGAAATTCTTTTTTTGAAAATGGCGGTTCGATTTGGTTTATGAATGCGTGTTTGATATGTTTAAGCTATGATGATTTTTATTGAATATATATTATAGATTTGAATTCCTTAGAGGAATATCTGCAAACATTTTTTTCATACTAATATTCCTTCCTGCCTATTGCCTCAAAATACTTCTGAAATGCTTTCCATGATTTATAGGAGATTAAATCCATTTTGCTAATATGATCTAAATTGGCTTAAAATTGCTATGATAGATAGATAGATAAATTATAGATATATAGAAAGAACAATATATTTGACATCAATTAAGACAAAATATTTACATTTCAACTTAGAAATATAATGCTATTTAAAATATAATATTATAGATGGCGCTAAATATCATGGAGATTAAAACTACAATTTAACATAACTTAAATACTTCCGAATTTGTTAATATTAATTAAATATTATTAAGAATCACTCCCTATTTAAGTAGGACAAACGTCCAATAATTAATAAAGAAGTTGAATAATACATAATATATTAACAAAATTATAATTGACTATTATCAGGTAAAATAATTGACTATTATCAGGTAAAATAATTGACTATTAACAGGTAAAATAATTGACTATATAATGTCACAGTTGTGACAAACCTTTTATTATATAAGATAGATTAATCATATTTAAATTAAATATTATGTTAGAATTTATTTTATTACAAAAACAAACCGGAAAATATATATTTTACGCAATGGATAATTGCAACATGGTCAATTTTAAAATTAGTTGATGATCTATTAAAGTTTCTAACTGATTTTAAACAAATAACCTGTAAAAAATAATCAACTAATTTAATATCAGATTTTTTTATCACTCCTTGGAATGTCGTGAATTCAGTATATATATAAAGATTATCCCAATATAAAGTTATGATTCATAAAACAACAACATTTAAGGGCCCCTGTAGAAAGACTTGTTAGTGATATAAATTCAATATTTTAGCAATAGAATCCTAAATTAGGTATGCGCATTACATAATTATCAGATCTGCGGAGGTACTTTTTAATAAAAAATTTTCAACTCGTTCGTTTAATTTTAAAAATTTTTCGGCCTGGCCCAGATTTTATATTTTCCGGCTCGGCCCAATTTTTCACCTCAACCCAGCTTGAATAATATTTTGCTAGATATATTATCTAAGGATTGAAAAACTGGAAAAATGATAAGTGAATGAATGTGATATATTGTTCTTTGATACACAATTTATAAATATATTTTATTTATTTTTAATTTTTAAAGATAATAATGTTGATTTAAAATTCGACCCAATTCAGTTCGGGTATTTTAAAAAAAATTAGGCCCAGCCTGACCTGTATATTTAAAAATAAAAAATATGGGCCGAGAGGTCTCTGATAATTATAATAAAAATATATCTTGCGTAAAATTATTTCTATACTTAGATACCTTGTAAAAAATTGTTTCTGTGCAGATATAATGTAAGAATTATCAAGATATATATTCTTTTTCAGCCGCTGTACCTATATCTAAATCCATTTGGATAGTATTTTTAACAACTCTGATTCCTGGCGATCACCGAGGTGGATTACTATTAATTTTAAATATATTAATTGCAGTTTATAGCTCTGTTACATATGTCCATTTAAATTTGGATAAAATAGTTCATCTTTCCCACTTATCACTGATATCTTCTTAAATATATGTGCTTGTAAGCTTAAAATTTTACATTAACCTAACTTGTTCAAATTTTACCAGAATCGATTCGGATCAGTTAAAAATTCTATTTTTTTTAGCATATTCGCATTTATTATACTTTATAATTTAATTATCTATTTATAAGGTTGATGTCAGCCCAAGAATTTGTTGTAGTCTTAAAGAAATATTTTAACTTTACCCTTGGTTCCCAATTATTGTACAGTTTCGAAAGACCTCAATATGCTGATGTATACATCTTATTCACTGTTTTTTTAAATAAATATATACATCTAATATTATTTTTGATCATTTGGTATAAAATTTAAATTTGAATATAAAATATTATAGGGGGTTAAATATGATATTAATTAATTATTATCAGACTTGTTAATATTTATATTTTTATCAAATAACTTATTTTACGATAGAATGTAAAATAACTCGGAATAATTAATTTTTAATCAATAAAACAATTTGTGAAAATTAAATATTTTTTTTATATTAAAATTTGAGAATTAACTATTTTAAGAAAGTATCCATTTTTCAATACATTATCGGGCAAAGACGACGAACATTAAAAATTTTTATCGATACAATGTATTGATCTGATATATATTATCACGATACTTTACTTTTACCAACTCTGATTATTATGCCTCATTTACTAAAATTTAAAATTTTTCATTTTTTTAAAAATTGGCCTAGAAAATAAGTTTTAAATTGTAAATTCATTTTTTGGTCTTTCTAAATAGAATTTAAAATCTGAACTAAAAGAGGTTCCGGTTTCTAAACTCTTAATTTTTTATTACGAATTTTTAAAAATTCAAATTTTATTGACTATTTTTCAAAACTAGGTCTTAGAAGAACATTCGAATAATGCCTTAGTAGACGTTTATGGATGCGTTCACTTCCTTAGATTATTCGGTAACAAATTCACTAAATAAAAAATAATACTAATGAAAATATGTTTGTTATTAATTAGTCAACCTGTTCGAAAAACTTAAAGAATTTCAGTTATCTCCACAACAAATCGCGTTCCTAATTCCATTCCTGAAAGATTTATTTATGTATCGACTTTTTTCAATTTTATACTTACTACTTCTCCTTTACTTACCTTTTAATGAGTTACATTATTGAATATATCGAGCACGGAGATTCCAAGCCACTAAAAAATTGAATTTTTTAAGATAGGCTTCTTTTTTGTAAATTTTAGATATAATTCCTTTTTTTGTTATTATAGATTGAATTCATTATTAAATGTCGTAATCTCATTAATTGAATGATATTCAATATTTTTTACCTCAAAGATAATTATAAGGTTCATGTAGCCTACTAATGGGGAAAGTTTTAGCCTCCTACCATTAAACCATAAAGATATCAATTATAAGGGTATGAAAAATTACCTTTTTACGGGTGTCAGTAACAGTGGCATAGACAGGGCCGTAGCCAGGAATTTTCAGTTCGGGGGTCAGCTGCTTGCTTAGGGGGGCCACTATTTTTTTTAAATAAAACAAATAATTAAGCATTCATAGAAATTTTTATTAAAAAAATATTAATGTTATATGAATAAAAATAATACTATAATATGAATATACAAAATAATACTATAATATAATACGACAATTTTTTATTTTTAAATTTTAACATAAATGAATTAAAAGATTAATTCTGTATAATTCTTTTTTCATTAGCCATTAATACTACATTTTGTTTACGTTGATCTTTCATCGACTCTCTAGTGCTCGATAGAACTCTCACTAGTGTACGTTGATACCACAATGATGGCTGCTGAATAGCATTTATAAAATTCTTTAAATGCAAGATGATATTTTTTTTTATACATAATATTTTAGGATATTTTCAAAATTATGTGTTTCTTTAACTTATGCAACTAATAATCCTTTAGCTATTTCCATTTCATGATGTAAAGTTTCCATATTTAAGTTATAATTATTCTAATCGGGCCATTTTGTCCGGTATAAAATAATCAGGGTCAAAGGGGGACAATGCATTAAAACTTGATAGAAGATTATAATCATCTTGTGTAAATCTATCTAATAAATTATCAACAAAGTAATCAATAATTCCTTTTGAAGAACTTCAATTGGAGTCTTTTTCACAATCAAATTATAATTTGGTCTCGACTAAAAAATCTTGAAAATTTAAAGGCGTTTTACGTATCCTTGGTGATTTGTGGGGTTTGCTAAAAGTTTTTCAGCCTTTATTCTAATCAAATCAATAGAATTATTGCTTCTTATATTTTTTAATATATTGATCGTGGAATCAATACAATTTTTAGCATCCACTTGATAAGTACCTACTGAAGATACTTATATAGTGGATCTATTGTTTTTAATATCTCATAAATTATAGTGGCTAATATAACGTAATTAATAAACGTATTGAGATAAAAGACCAGAGGCTTCAATAGAATCATGAGTGGAAACCTCTGAATTAAGAGTTCTAAAAGTAAACCAATACTGCACCAATAGCCTCAAAATTAATATAAATGATGCGAGATGTTTCTAAATGACCAGTCCACCAACCTCTGGTCTAAAAGTCTCTTGAGTATCCTGCATTTACAGGATGCGTTAAACCGCTTAAAAAATTATGCAATGCATTGAATAAATTAAAAAAATTAGAAATGATAACAATATTATTATACCAATTTTGAACCACAAGATGCAACATGTGGTTGTAGCAATGTATAAAAGGAACTTTTTTGTTAATTTTTTTTTGAAATAGGGTTTGCACTCCTCCATTTCGGCCAGACATAACGTTTACACCATCATATGTTATCATATTCGTTGAATTAATATTTAACTCATTAAGTTGCTTTAAAATGCAATTAGTAATGCTTTCAGCAGAAAGAAATTCCTATTAAATTTTCTTGGACTTTCCCAGAAAAAAAATATAGCGAATAATTATGCTCAGAGTTTCATAACCTTATGCATCTTTTGTCTCATCAGCCATAAGACAAATAAAGCCATCTCACTTTTGTTATATTTATCTGAAATATATTCAAGCACCATATCTGCCATATTTTTAGAATCTGGGGTGATGTATATTGGGCATTTTTAGGTATAAATTTCATAATTTTATTTAATTCAGGATTTTTTTGGATGGTGTATTGCTATAAATAGTCCAGAAAGAATAAATTATGTTTTCTACATTTGCAGCATCCGTAATATTGTTGAACCAGTCTCACGGAAAGGTAACTCCTGTATGTTAAGAAATATCATGAAATCTTGATTTAAGATCCTAAAGATTACGGTTAATTTGTTGGCTTACCAAAATTGTTGTTATCTCAGTATTTTCTTTATGATGCTAAAATATTCACCGCTGTTTTAAATAACTGGTTATATCGGGGTTAGATAATATTATTTTGTCTAACCTAATCGGACCATTTTTAAAAATCGGCCCAAATTGAGCTGTTTAGCAACACTGCACAATTACCAAATTTTAAATAAGAACCTTTTTTATTTTAATAAATATTTACGGATCGGTATCAATCTGTTTCCTTAGATTTGATATATATATATATATCAAGCCTTGAGTAACCACTTGATTAGCTTCAGAAAATCCCTGTTTTTTTATGATTTGCACCTAGATCTATATCAGAGACCTTCAAAAGATAATAATATTGTGATTGAACCATAATAAATAAAATATTATCATTGAAATAAGTACAATTTAAACGTTAAAATAAAGCGCCTATTAATGTTTTACACAAACACGTGAAAATGATAAAATATGAATGAATAATGATTTATTATTGGATAAAAATAAAACAGGATAGGAAGAAATTTACAAACAAGACATGTTTTTTAAATAAATATTTAAAAATATAAAAATAATCAATTACAAAAATTTTTTTTTAAATTTGAGGGGCTGGAAAAATTTATGGGGGCCATTTTTTGGGGCTTAAGATTTTTTCTGGGACCATAAAAAAATTTGGGGGGGGGGGGGGGGTGGTCTGCCTCTCTCGTGGTTTAGGCTCTGGGCATAGATAAGGGATGGCTTGAGTTTAACCCCCCACCCCCATGTTAACTATGATTAGATAAAATTTTGGGTTTTCATAATACTTTTATATATCTTATATGAAAATTTTCTTTTATTTCTTTAGAATTTATAAAACCCTCTCTTTAATTTAGTATTTGTATAAAATCATCTCGGAAATTTCTTCATTTAAAAAAAAAAATTGAAAAAATCCTAAAAACCTAAAAATGAATAACGGAACCGATCCTATAATTCATATGCAATTTAACTTTTAAATATAAAGGCGAACTTAGCATTACTTTACTTAAAAATCGCTAAACCTTAGCTCTTAAGGGTCATCTATTATAAATAAAAATTCACCTTAACCAATACATCTTTGATATCATATTTTCGAAATATGGCCGGTTATTTCTTTATCTTTTTATGCTAACTTTACTAAATTATAAAGTCAAAGCTACATAGACTTCCAGTCTCATATTTTATAATACTATAAAAGTTGATGTTTTAATGATGAAGTAATTATTTTAAATATTTTCTTGTTTATTTAATATTATAATTGCTAACGTTCTTCTATATTTTTTGTTCTATCTTGAATCTTGTTACCAATTTTAAACTTTTTCTTATTTTGCTAGCCACTTTTTTATTTAAGCTGTTTACCAAAGGGATTAAAGTATTAAACTAAAATGTATACTAGTTAAACCTTACATATTGGTCTACGGTTTGATACAGATTCATATAAAATTTTTGAAATCTCCATTTAAAATATGAGATTTTGACTATAATATTTCTATAAAATCCAAGAACAAATAATATATATAAATCGTAGAATCATAAGATTCATAAATATTTTGAATCGCGGAGAAACCTCATAATGTATTTAAACGTAATTGGTTTAAAATCTGATAGTTAAAATTCAGTCTATGGCGTGCCAATAATTTTTATTTTATTTTTAACTAGTTTCTGTTTACTGACTGCAAAAACTTATTAATTAATTAGTACGTACTTATGCATTACATATATACGCACTCATATTTTCAATGCTTTTATTATTTCTGTTCATCTCACAATCTTGGTAATTTTTTTTATTTTGCCAATAATTTTCTTTCCATTTAAACCATCTACCAAGCAGAATAAAACAATAAAATGTGCTAATAAAGCACTACTTAGCTTGACTCACTTCACGCTTAAAAATGACCTCGTAGTTTTCATTATGTTTACAAAATTATTTTTATGAATTTCTAAATTGATTGAGGAATTAATAAGTAGCAGGCATAGCAGATATTTAGCTCTTGTATACTTAGTTAAAATCAAGCCTTCCGATGACGATCTTACAGTGTCCGGTTACGAATTTCTGGAAAGATTTCCCTATCCGCTGACTAGCTAAGATTTGCTATTGAAGTACGGCCTTGCAAAATATTTCTACCATACCAATGTTAACATTGTGAAACCAACGTTGAAGGGTAGACATTGTCGCTTTGTTGAGGCCGTTTCCCACGGCGCACCAAATATAATGATATCATATTACGTGCTCTCAAATCCTCAGGCATTCCATTTAGACTCAAACCAATCGGTATTTTTAGAACCGATGGAAAACGTCCTAATAGAATATCCTTAAAATCTTGGTCAAGGGGTCAGCTCCTGGTTTGGGACTTCATGTGCATTGATCCAAGTGCACCATCCAACTACAAAATCGATGCTCTTGCCCTCGCAGAAACCCGGAAAATCACCAAATACAGTTCCATAGATCCTTTTTTCTCATTCATACCCATCGTAGCTCCATTCTCACCACCTTCGGTAGCAAAGCTCAACCCTTTTTTTAAAGAATTTAGCAGACAGATTCGTGAAAAAACCCATCAGCTTAAGTAATCCCTTTTAAGGCAAGGACTTGCTACCGTCATTATTCGATCTAACTATCTAAGTTTTATCTCTTCCATCGAATAATCTTACATGCTTCATTATACTTTCTTTCTTCCCTTCTCCTTCCAAGTTTTTATTGACTATTATCTTTTTTAGGCATTCTCTTTTTAAAATCCCCAATCCTTTCTCCTAAATTCTATTTTTATAATTTTCACCTTCATTAATTTTATATTAGGCAAAAACAATTAAATTATAATTAATAATATATTATATCAGCCTATTCAAATAAAGAAACCAATAACCAGTTTGTGAAAAAAATTATTCTAAAGCATGATGCCAATTTTGGGAATTTTGTTTTCGTCTAATAACCTTTTTTTAAATACTGTCAGCCAAACGGATTAAAATAATAAATGATTCAAAGCACTAAACATTTTAAAAATTTTAGAAAAAATGCTTTCAGTCATTTTTAATCTTGGAATTTTTTAAAGTAGATCCTTTACTACTTTATTTATAAAAACTAGTAAAAAACTTTTATAATATTTTATTTAATAATCCTAATTTGATTAATGTTTTATTATCAATTTTGCTTATGAAGTCGTCAAGTCTACTTCTAAATTATTTTGTATTCATAGTATAATAATTTTATAATGATATTGGACAATATATTTTGTATAAGTACGCCTTATTCTGATAATAGATTTATTATTTACAAGTGCTTAGTTTTTAAGTAATCATTAATTTAATGACGATTAACTAGTAAAAAGGGGTTAATTTTTATGCCTTTTTATCCTTAATTTCTGCAAAGGTATAACAAATATTTTGCCAAAATATAGGTTACATAAACCTTAGTTTGTATACTAATTTTTTTTAAAAAAATTCTTTTTTCTCTAAAATAATTTCCTAAAGTTTAGAATGCTAATATGATTGATATATATTATCTTGGGGAAAATATTTTACATTCATTTTAGTATTGTATTAATACTTTTTCTTTGTTTATTAAAAATATTTTTAGATATCTCAATCAAAACTTATATAATTACATAAGAATTGATGACTATGAATGTGCACCACCAGATTATTATAGGAAAATAATTTAATTTTTTGGCCTATCGAAATTTTCATAACTATATTAGGTGTACGACTATGTGATATTATACCCTTTATGTTTCAGAATGATTTCTTGATCACGCTTATATTATCGTAAATATATGAATCCACATTTTGATATTTATAAAATTGAAAAATGTTGCTTATTATTTGTCAAATTGATAATATGCTAATTTTATATTATATAATCTATTTATTTTTATATTATGGTATTTAAATTACGAATTAATATATTGATATAATGGCAATACTATCTGTCCGTTATTTTTTCTCCTTCAGTATTATACAATTCCTTTATTTAGTATGAATATATCACATGATAAAATGGTATATAATTAATATTCGTATATACATGCATGATTGATTAGTATATGTCATTTATAACATTAATAATATATCTCATTTATAACATATCCCCACACATGATCTTACAACTCCTCAATCAGCCGATTTGTAGGTTTCCTAGCTCTTTGTGATTTCCGCGTTTCTAGTTTTCCATCATCTTCCACATTTTCTAAAATCTCAACTATATCCGACTCTCTATTTTTTATATTTTCTTCCTCTCTCTCTTACTCCATATTTTTTCCCCCTGGCCCAGACTTTTCCATTTCTTTAGCTACCTCCCTTTTTTGAAGTTGATCCGCATGCTTCCGTACCATTCTATCCTAGCTTTCTACCAAATAAGAATATCTACCAGTTCTGGATTTTATAACTCCTTCTCTCCAACCTGAATTTACATTATGCACTCATACCGGTTGTGCAATCTCAAATTCTCTCATTTGACTATGTTCATCATGCGCTGCTTTGTCGTATATTCGATCATTCCATTTCATTTCTAACATTTGGATGTAACCAAATCCCGTTTTTAAATTTCTCCCCAATAATAACTTTGCTGGTGAACGTCCAATTGATTGATGTTCACCCATTCTATATGCTATCAAAACTTCTCCCATGGCTTCCTCAGGCTCCCTGATGTCTTTCCTAGTTGCAAAATATCGACTCTTGAGGGTTCGTATTGTTCTTTGCGCTAAACCGTTCGTTTTTGGATGGTACGGTGTTCTATGTATCAATTTAATATTTTTCTCGAAACAAAATTTTCGAAATTCTCCAGAAATAAATTGCGGTCCATTATCTGATACAATTTGTCTAGGTGTTCCAAACCGTGCGAACCATTTCCTTAAAGCCCTGATCATTGTCGTGGACGTGGTCTCTTTCATTAACTCAACCTCAACCCATTTAGTATGTGCATCAACTCCAACTAACCATGAATACGAATCAATAGGTCCCACGAAATCCTAATGAATTCGTTCCCATGGCATATTAGATATGTTCCACGAATATAAAGGAACCTCCATAATATTCGACCGGTTACTTTGACATGGCATACATTGACGAACATATTGTTCAATGTCTTTATCGCGATTAGGCCACCAACAATACATTCTAAAAATTGATTTCATAGCATTTATTCCTGGATGTTCTCTGTGTATAATCGTTAATATTGATTTCCTCAAAACGGTTGGAATTACCAACTTCCCATTCCATTCAATAACATCATGATCTACTGACAATTCCTCTCTACGATTATAAAAATAAACTAACTGTATCTTTTTTCGCATCAAAATCCACCCATCCACGTTCAATGTTTTTAACTACTTTTTTAAACAAGCTATCATTCCTTGTCTCTTTTTGGATTCAACTTGACTAATATTTATATCGTGCAAATTTATAGCTCTGATTTTTACCTCATGTTTTTCATCGTTATTTGATTCTATGCCTTCTACTGGAAACCTAGATAAAGTATCAGCTACTTTATTTTCTTTTCCTGGAACATATTCAATATCAAAATCATATGCGGACATTTTCCAAGCCCAATGCGTTAATCGACTATTGGATATTTTTTGTAGTTCCCGTTTATCACCAAATAATTTTTTCAAAGGTTTGTGATCTGTTCGCAATATAAATTTTCGACCAAATATGAAAGTATGAAATTTTTCCATTTCAAACAAAAGTGCTCGTGCCTCTTTTTCTATTGGTGCATAATTTTTCTCTGACTCCAATAATGTTCGCGAGGCAAATGCGATAGGTCTGCTAATACCTTTTTTTTACTAAATGACCCAACACAGCTCCAAAACCAGTGTTGGGGGCGTCACATTCCAATATAATTGGCAAATATGGAATTAGCGTTTTATTTGTTGACAAAAGCTGTTTTATTTTATCAAATACCTCTTGTTTCCTGTCCGACCAACCCCAGCAACATTTAATGCTTGTTAGTTTATGCAGTGGAGTGGCAATTCCATGCAAATGTGGCAAAAATCTCTCGTAATAATTCACAAGTCCTAAAAAAGATCGTAATTGGTGTATATTATTAGGAGTTGGTATCCTTCGAATAGCATCTATTTTTTCTTTCACTGAGTTTATTCCATTTTTGTCTATTACAAAACCTAGAAAAAAAACTGATTCATTTAAAAAGCGTATTTTGGTCCATTTTCCCTTCATACCCACCTGTTTTAATTTCATTAATACTTTTTTTACGTTATTCAAATGTTCTACATCATTTTTCCCCGTTATGATAATATCGTCAAGATATACTCCTGTCATTTGACAGTCTTGTAATAAATTATCCATATATCTTTGGAAAATGGTCGGCGCAGTAGAAAGACCGAAAGGCATACTTTGATATTGGAAATAAACAATATGGGTTGATATGGTTAAATATTCTTTTGAACTTTCTTTTATTGGTAATTGTAAATATGCATCTTTCAAATCTATTATCGTAAATTTCAACCCATCTTTTAATTTGGTTATAAGATCATCCACCGTTGGTATAATATGATAATTGTATAAAATATATGGGTTTAATTTCACCTTAAAATCCGTACAAATCCTGATTTCTCCATTTGTTTTGCGTCGTTTACTGTTGGAGTAGCCCATGTCAAACATTTTTTTGTTAGGTCAATCTCCTTCAATATTCCTGATTTAACCAATCTATCGAGTTCCATTTCAATTGGTTTTCGTAATGGAAAAGGTACTCTACGAGCTGGCCATGATTTCGTTGCTGCCTCACTCAGGTGTATGCTAACTTCCATATCATTCACCCGTCCTGGCTTGTCATCAAAAACACTGAAAAATTCTGTCGTCATGCCAGCAATTTGTTTATCGGTTGTCATAACCTCTTTACTTGTGATACTATGTATAGTAACTTGTCGTGAGATAAACATATTAAATGCCAGAATCCATGGTAGTCCAAATAAAGGTATGTCATTTGAACGGGTCACCACAATCGGTAGTGATCTGCTTATATTTTCAAGACGAACCCTTACCATAGTCTCACCAAGTACATCCAGCGGTTGGTTACCATATACTGACAAAGGTTTGGTTGGTTTAAGCTTGGGTCGGTCAATTTCATCCCAATATTGTTTCCCAATCACCGATACCTATGCCCCCGTATCATAGTCAAAATCTATAGGTACTCCATTTATCCTAACATATATCTTCGCACTATTTCTACCAATTTGGGAAATATTATTAATTGAATCTGATGAGTCATTGTCATCTTGATGCATAGCATGTAACTTCCATCCCTTACAATATTTAGCATAATGCCCTACCTTTTGGCAATTATAACATTTCACCCTTGATGCAAAACATTGAAAGGGGGGGGGGGGTGAGTTCTTCCACATTTTAAGCATTTATTGTATTTACACATATCGTTATTGTTAAATTTATTGTTATCTCTGAACTTAAAATTATTATTATTGTAATAACTAAAATTTCCTTGTCTTTATTATTATTATATGGATACTTTTGATTAGAAAAATTTCCTTGATTATTCTCTATCTGCTCCTTAGGTTTTATTTTTTTTACCGTCATATTTATCACTTCATCCTCAGCCCTTTCCATTGCCAAAGTCATATTTAAAACCTGTTGAAAACTCACCCTTTTTATCATGTCATTTATTCCATCTGGAAATCTGGTGCGAATATCTTTCTCCAATGCACCCATTTTGATTCCAGCCACCATCTGATCCCTCAATCTCCCATCCAGGTCAGATTCAAATTTACACTCTTGTGCCAATTTTTTAAGTCGGTCTGCAAACTCAGCAACTGCTTCACCATCCCCTCTTTCTATCCGAATAAACTTAATTCTCGAGCTCAATAACTTTGAAATAGGCTTAAATATTTTTTTACCCACTTCATATATCTCCTCATAATTAAGTTCTTTCAAAATTTTATCTCTGCCAAATTACTAATCCCCATATAAGCAAATAATATTTTTTTCTAGGTTTTACCTCCAACATATCATCTAGATATTCAATATAATCTTGAAAGTTGTTTTGTTTGTCATAATTTTCAAATTTTACTTGTATAACATTATTTACTGGATTAATATTATTCGTTTCATTTGTATTCAACTACATCACTAGTAATTGGTTCTTTATTCATAATGAGATCGTCGCTAATATACAATTCCTTTATTTAGTATGAATATATCACATGATAAAATGATATATAATTACAATTCGTATATACATACATGATTGATTTGTATATGACATTTATAACATAATAATATATATAATATATCTCATTTATAACAAGTATTAAATTTTCAAAAATAAGGTATTACAATTTCTTAAGTCTTGATAAGTATACTTTTTTCTAAAATAGATAATTGAAACAACATAGGACATTAATCTAAAAAAAATAATACGGATGTACATATATTTTTTATCGGAATATTGTTTGGTATAACAGTTCAAATTCATTTTAAAAAGTACATTATAAACAAACGATTAATTGTAAAAGTTAATTGAAAATTAAAAATAATTCCTAAAAAGAATTATCAAAAATGTAAAAATAAATTGAGAAAAAATCAGAAAAATAAAGAATAAAATGATTTAAAGAGATTTAAAAGGTTAGATATGTATGTAAAAGATTACAATATAAGGAGAAAGAATTATAAAAAGTCAAAATATTGTTATGTAGGATGAAAAAAGAGGAAAGAATTGTTAAAAAATGTAGTAGAAGAAGAAAAATAAAATAAAAAAATTATAAATTATTTTTAAAAAGACAAAAGTTAATTATCAAAAATGAGAAGAAAAATAAATTGAGAAAAGATATAGTAAGAAATATAAATTAAATCGCAAAAAGTTAGAAATAAAATAAGAAGGAAAATTGACAAGAAAAATAAAGATTTTACTTTTTTGATTGACACTTTTCCTTTTGGGAATTATCCTTTTTTGAATGACAGTTTTCCTTTTTTGATCGAACTTTTTCCTA